AAAATAATAAGAAACACTTTTGTTAGTACTATTCCATCAACAAGTGTTTCCACACATCAATACCAACCTATTGGGCAAATTCGACCAGGACGAAGCAGGTGCAGATTCCGAATCAGAATAGTCCCACGCATTAGCCGAGCTCGATTTATCCGAGTAAACAGTGTCCCACATCTTCAACCCGATAATCGAATCCGGCTCATTAATTTTCATACACAGCTCAAGTGAAGATGATTTCAGCAAACTGTCCCTCATTTGTGAATTTCCACTCGGGGGTTCTTTCAAGACAGGTTTTTTCGCAGCTTCAGGGGGGCCATTTTCTCTGCCAAAAGAGTGCAATTTTCCTGGTTTCAAATTCGGCTCCGCATTTTCTTTATTATCACCGGTGAAGGATGAACTCCGGCGAATGTGGGAGGCCCCACCGTCTTCACTTGAGGTGCGGTGGTGTTTGTGCTCAATCAGGGGATTGCGGTAGAGAGAAGTGTAAGAAGATTGACGTGAGATTGTGGTTTTCTTGCAGCCCGCCATTTCTGTTCCCTTTCTGATTGGAATTGTTTGAAAAGGAAAGGAAAAGGAATAAAAATGTAATCTTTATGGGGTTATAATGAGATTAGTGAATCTTGCAGCGAGTGTGGTTGCATATCTTCATCTTCCCAAGTATTTTGATGCTATTATTGGGAGCAACGGCTATTTGAATTTGAAAATTTGAACTGGGAAAGTTGGTGTCTTTTAGGCACTTATTATAAAAAGCAACTTTAATGAGGGTTGGTATAGTTCTTTTTGACTAGTGGGAATCAGTGGTAGTTAGTGTGTGTTGATTTGCTGTGTCCTTTGTGGGGAGGTGAGGATTGGATTGGAAATAAGCGCCAGGAAATTTGAACACAACCAAAATGACGGATGGGTCTGGCACATGAAGGAAAAAGTTAAATTTTTTTGTACTAACATTCAATGACAACATGATGTAGCATGATGTGGGTGGTTGAGATGCAAATAAATGTATGGTTGAGATTTGAATTAATGATATTTTTAACTAAATTGTCAACCAATATTGTAAACTACACTTGTACATGTAGAAGCAACAATAACAAATAATGTAAGTTTGACCACTCCATCCCCTCGTGTCCGCTGCCAGCTACTCAACCTGAAAAGATGAGAAATAGTGGAGGTGAGTAAACAACTAGCTCATCATGATAATAACTATGCAATTATTCAGTATAAGAACAGATAATATAACATTGGTATGAACATGAAATAAGATATCTTATTTGTCTTATCTGCACACCCTGTCGGGCTGACCGGGTTATGCCCGTCTCGACTTTTAAATGTATAAAATAGTTAATGTATATATCTTATTTGTAAAATTTGATTATTAATAAATGAACAATATAAATATTAATTATTTAACTATAAAAGAATTTATATATTGATTGCATAAATTATAACACATAACATATTTTTTGTAACTTTGATGGATCATGCCATTAATTTACCTAAAAAAATATTGAAACAATAATATTTATTACATAAATTATTTAAGGGGTTTTTTCATGCCATTAAATTAATATATAATTAAAAAACTAATATTAGTTTTATAAAGAGCTTGAAAAAATGCAATATAATTTCTGTATATACCATTTATTGTGAATTAAAATTAGTTGATTTTAGTAATAACTATTGTATGATAAAATAATTAATGGAATATGATTAAACCTAACTAATAAAGAGTCTTCTTATTAAGTCCAAAATGATTTAGGCGGAGAAAGTAGGCTATTCGCATTAATTGTATAGCCTACAATTATATATATAAATTAAATAGTATTAATTGAATAATTTTGATCTATATATATATACATATTTTGATCAATTGAATAATTTTTTTACACTTTTTAACTTAAATTTAATTTATACCAACTCTCTTCAATATTGTCAGTATAATTAAATAGTATTAATAAATTATTATCACATCCACTTTTATCCACTATTCATCAATTCACATAGTTTTAACTACATATCATTTTTAATAATTTGTCTCCTACTTTTGCTTCACATTAATTTTAATTATTATTTTAAATATTATTTAAATAAAAATTTAAATCAATTAACTAATTCAAAATTAAGTCATAACCGGTTTTGATTTATATCTAATAGCTAGCACGTACATCGTGGGCTTTCTTGGATATAAAAAATCTAAAAAAAAATCAAAATATTTTTAACTCAATCATTTTTTTAACTCAACTTTAATCTAACCCCACTATCGTCAATATTATCAATTTAATTAAATAATATCAATCAATCATTTTAACTAATAATCAACTTCACATTAACTTTAGTTCATTATTTATCAACTCATATAATTTTAACTAATCATCATTTCACATCATTTTTTCTCCTACTTTTACATCACATTAACTTTAATTATTTTATTTTAATTCATTCACTAACAACTAACATACTACCTTTTTTAAAATTAACCAAACAAANATCAAAAGCAAAATTTTTTTATATTCGAGCATTCCCTTAAACAACTCGTTTTTGTTCCTAAAAGCTAAAACCCTACACCTACAGCACGCTTTCCAGTTTCAACAGTTGCTCGTAATTCCTTCATTTCCTCCACCAATGGCGGCCTCAAATATCCTCGCTCATCAATCCCCTTCAACCTTCTCCTCAAAATCCCTTGTTAGTTTCTCTCCAAATCCCGTATCCACGAACTGCATTCTACCATTCAAGCTCAAATCCATATCCGGAAACCTAACTACTTCTATGCGGGCAGTCCGTTTGCCAAAAGCCGTTGTATCCCCGTCGGAACCCAAGACCCAGAAATTCGAGCATTGTTTCAGGAAATCCGATGATGGATTCTTGTACTGCGAGGGGGTTAAGGTTGAAGAAATCATGGAGGTGGTTGACAAAAGGCCCTTCTATTTATACAGCAAGCCGCAGATTACGAGGAATGTCGAGGCGTATAAAGAGGCGCTGGAGGGTTTGAGCTCGATTATAGGTTACGCGATTAAAGCGAATAATAATCTCAAGATTTTGGAGCATTTGCAGAGGTTGGGGTGTGGGGCTGTTTTGGTCAGTGGGAATGAGCTTAAGTTGGCTCTGCGTGCTGGTTTTGATCCAACAAGGTCGTTGATTCTCTAAAAAGGCTCAAAATTCTATGTACAAGCTAGTTGATTCTATAAGAGGCTCAAACTGATTCTAAAAAACACTTCAAATTTAGGCGGTAGATGTTATGAAGCTTACGAATTCTTGCACCTAATGCGTTATTCTCTTAGTTACTCGTTATATTCTGTACGTTTTTGCTAATAATATAGAAAGGCATCAATGGCTTTTAGATGGTCACATTTTGTGACCGTGACTGCTCTTAATCTGCAACAGAAAATGCACTTGCAGAAAGTTTATTCTATGAAATTTGAGAATCCTAGCCCCCAACGTGTTTACACTTGACACTGTATCGCATTATGTATAATTACTTTTGGTATAACAAGGGAATTCTTCAAATGTAATGTCAAGAAGGTCAAGAAATACAAACTTTTCATGTTATTACAACCATTAGACAAATTGGGTTTTGAAAGAGCAAACTTCTTTCTGACATACAAAATGTGCTTTCGCGCTTTAGAAGCTTTTATTATTAATCTCATGTTTTAAATCCCCACTGTACATTATACATAGCCTGGTACTAACTCCAGAGATTACCTAGAGATGAATTTGTGCATAAATTTGAATGCAGGTGTGTCTTTAATGGAAATGGGAAAATTGTGGAGGATTTGGTGTTGGCTGCCCAAGAAGGTGTGTTTGTGAATATTGACAGTGAGTTTGACTTGGAAAACATTGTCCACGCCGCAAGAATTGCTGGAAAGAAGGTTAATGTGTTGCTACGTATTAATCCTGATGTTGATCCTCAGGTATAAAGACTCAGTGCATGAAAGTGTTTTGAAGTCGTATTTGATTTTGAATTGCATAATTAGAATTTCTTGAAACATTGACGTACTACTTATGATATTGCTTGGCTTTTTTAAGTTATTTCTTGTCACTTGACCACTTATTTGATAACAAGAGGCTTTATCTAGTGAACTTACCTCTTGTGGTTCATAATAAGGAAATTGTAGCGGTTATCTTCAAACTTCCCTCTCAAGGTTGGGCAAGAGGAGTAGATGGTTTAAAAAATTTCAAATTCTATATTTTGGGTTTTTTGTTAGTCCTGATACTGTACTTGGGCTGTATATTAACCCAAATTTCTGATGCCTTCTTTTCGAGTTTGATTTCATGCTAAGTGTTAATGTTGGTTCATCGGTTGCAATTATGACGTATTTATTAATATTAAAAATATTACCATTAGGTTATGTACTCAAGGCTTGACACCTACACACTGCATTAATTAGGTCCATCCTTATGTTGCCACCGGAAATAAGAATTCAAAGTTCGGTATTAGAAATGAGAAGCTTCAGTGGTTTTTAGATGCTGTGAAAGCACACCCTAAAGAATTGGAACTCGTTGGTGCCCACTGTCATCTCGGTTCTACCATCACTAAGGTATTTGCCTGATGCACCTTTCTTCAATTCATTTTTCCATGCGATGCCTTATTCCCTTGAATAGCTGTTTTTTTCCCATCATAGTCTCTGTTCTGTTCTCATGTTCACCCATTACAACTGATTGTGTTCATAATGACTGGCGTTGAATAATTCTCCAGGTAGACATTTTCAGAGATGCTGCTGTTTTGATGGTGAATTACATTGACGAGATCCGTTCGCAAGGTTTTGAAATAAGTTATTTGAATATTGGAGGCGGTCTGGGGATTGATTATTATCATACGGGAGCTGTCCTTCCTACTCCTAGAGACCTAATAGACACTGTATGTCATGCCACTTTTCATTTATGTTGCTTTGAATATTGGAACTTGTATGTTTTCTCTTTTTTATTCTACTTGTCCCAAAAATAAGGACAATTATATACAGCTTACAAGTCGTTACTTTCTTTAACCAGCGCCACCTGTCATATGGTGTGATTACAATTGGCAAAGAGATTTGAGCCTAATTGCAAAAAGATCCAGTTACTTTCAAATGCAAACAACACTCAATTGTTGCAACCAAAGGATTGTATTTACCTTGCAAATCTTATCCTCCCTCTCGTACAATTTTTTAAAGAGATGTCAATGTCAATGGCAGATATTTTTAAGAAAGTGCTAAACTTGTAAGGTATATTTGTTATGTCCAAGGGACTACATGAAATCTAGAGAATAATTCTGTTTTTTATTTTAATGAGGCCAGAGTTTAGTGCTACTTTGTGTAATTGACTAATGGTTATGAAAACTTCTCATATACCAAAATTCTGCTTGTTTTCTATTAGGTCCGCGAATTGGTTCTTTCGCGAAATCTAAATCTCATAATCGAACCTGGAAGATCACTCATCGCCAACACGTGCTGCTTTGTCAACCATGTCACTGGAGTAAAAACCAATGGGACAAAAAATTTCATTGTGGTTGATGGCAGCATGGCAGAGCTTATTCGTCCAAGTTTATACGGAGCTTACCAGGTGAGGTTCTGGATACTTTAGATACGGTTGATGAAGTATATTGTAGTTGTTTGTATACTTCTATATCCCCGATTGAAGAGTTAATTATTAAATTATAATCAAATATAAAAGGACATCTGAGATTTTGAGTAATAGCTTGTTTTGTCGACACTGCCGGAAACAGTTAAAATAAAAGCACACACTAGCATAATTAACCTAACAAGTCTATCGGCTTCGTTTTACTGGTAAAATCATATCCCCAGTTGCATTTCTGCATTTTATCACCTGGCACTCTATTGCTACAACCACCTATTTTTTTTTTTTTTTAATCGGTTTTCCCTGCGTTGAGATTTGAGAATATCACGGTTTTGATTTTTTGTACCAGCATATTGAGCTGGTTTCGCCTACACCACCAGATGCCGAGATATCCACTTTTGATGTGGTGGGTCCCGTCTGTGAATCTGCTGATTTCTTGGGTAAAGACAGGGAACTACCTGCACCACCTAAGGTAATGTTTTGTACCCCGTAGCCCTTCAAGCTACAACACTCGGTGTAAGAATCGTGAGAACTCTATTTTTAACTATTGTCTGTGTAGTACTATGGTTAATTGTGTTTGGTGCTATTTTTAACGAGTATTTATTTTTTAAAAACAACGCTATATATATATTATGACATATGTATAATTGATAGCACCATGTGTATCTTAAAAAAGGGATCACACATTAAATTTAAAAATAGTATCATATACAGTTCTCATTATTTTCACACCAATACATGTTTATATATATGCAAATTTCATCTTGTATAATGATTTGGTTGTGGTTCTTTAGGGTGCTGGATTGGTGGTACATGATGCCGGTGCTTACTGCATGAGCATGGCTTCAACTTACAATCTCAAGATGCGTCCACCTGAGTACTGGGTTCGTTTCCTCTTCTTTCTTCAATTCGTCTTTTCCCACTGTTTCTGTTAATTCTTTTGTTTTTCTACCAAGTAACATGTGATGTGCCTTCAGTTGAATTTCAGGATTAATGACAAAAAATACATTTGATGCTCCGTTTGATTAAAGAAAAAAAAAATATAATGATTAAGATATGGTTGTAAATAAATTTAATATAAAATGCTCCGAGTTTTTGTTCTGCTACAAAGTTGCCACTTGTAATAAGTCAAGCATGTATGGTTGTAAAGAGGGACATTCGCAAATCTTCAAGGGGAAATTTCTAATTTATTAAGTTATTGGATTTGTCATCCTTGCTTTTTCATTGTACTATTTCTGTAATTAGATTAGACTTACGTTCAGCTCACCTTCAGGTTGAAGATGACGGGACCATATCCAAAATCCGACAAGGAGAAACATTTGAAGATCATTTGAGGTTTTTTGAGGGTCTTTGATTTGATGCTGTAGCTCTCTCTCATTTCATCATCTCAGACCTGGCTGTGTTATGGACCAATAGAATTTATTGTGTACCTCTTTTTTCCCCTTTTACTGTATCTTGAATGCCTTTGTCTATCCGAATATTTAGCATGTCGCAGAATTCTATTGCCTTGAAATGACAAATTTGTAGCATTGCATACCGTGACTGGTATGGATATGGGATAAAATTATGAAACGATGAAGTTTTTAACTGTATAATGGACGTGATATTAATATGAATGTTGAAAACATTTTTACTTATTTGGAAAAATATTAGCTTAAGTATAAGTTGTTATTGTACAATGAATGATGGATGTGATATTAAATATGCCTCTATATTATGTTACTAGGTTGTACACAATTATAAGATATCCCCTAATAGACCCTATACATTGTCTCGAGCCTGTGATCCACGGTGCTTGAGAATGTGTCAACAGCAAAAGTGAACAAAATAGGTACCAATTAATCATGTCAAAACATTAATTTTTTCGTAGGACAAACCAAGTAGTTTTTGAAGTTTAGTCTCCAGAACTTTCATCTCAAAATTCTACAAAACACAAATTAAGTAAATAAAAATACAGTCACCCTATGAGAAAATTAAGCGTTGAAACGCCAATTCATGTCCGTCATTAATGCATCTCAGTCTGAACCAAACCACTGAAAAACAGTTCTTATAACTTGTAACCAAAGTCACACAGGGCACAACAGATCAAATCTCACGGATACCTGTGTAAAAAAAAATTTGTCGAACGAATGTTAGTTGAAAAGGGCTCAATCCTCCTCAAAATCTCGATCATTCTCCAACAAGTAGTTGACTGCTAATTCTTCGTTTCGTTCACATGCTAAAAAGGCTTCAATAACACGAGCTCTGTCAAAACCCATCGCCTCCATCTAAAAATTTATATTAATTAAGAATGGTAATTAAAATTCATATATAAAGAATATTCAACATCAAGGGAGCACAAACAAATTAGAAAAATAGAGGGTTTAGGGTGGTTTGCGCACTCTTTCAATAGCCTCCTGCTCTTCTGGTGTGACACTAACAGCATGAGGCATGTCTTGCTCTCCTTGATCAAATATATCCCTATAAATAAATACATTTCCAAAACAAGATGGGTTACCTTATCATGTGGAAGAGAAAATAAATGAATCTATAACAATCAACACAACTAATGCACTTCCAAAATCTACTGATCGTTTTTTCATAACCAAGCACATAACATTTTAGCAAAGTGTTCATTGGAGCTAAAGCGATGCGGTGAAAACATGAGGGTTCCATTAAAAAGAGATGCAGTGAAAACATTTTTCATTGGAAATGTAAAAAAAATACATAACAACTAATGTGACAAATTAATTTTTTGTAAGGATCATCAAATTTCGACTTCATATATCAATACTGTATTGACTGCATGTTAATGAATACACACAGTTAAAATACTGTTTAATAAAAAGGATTATAATATCATGTGGCATACATATATTTGCATTCGGTTGATTTGCAAGAGTAAAGATGAAGGACGGCGGTAAATCACTCACCCTTCAGAACCATCAACGTGCTCATTAACTAATTGGAGGAACTCCTGTTGGTTTTCTTGTATGAGCGACAATAGTGAAGGATTCTGCTTTCCAAGCTCCAGTAGCATTGGCTACAAAAATGAGGACTTAAAGTTTGGGTTTACAACAAAGTAATAAAAATACATGCAAATACATATTATGTATATATATAACCAAGGCTAATGTTTACCTGAAGAATTTGTGGATTTCCTTGAACCAGAGCACGCAATGCTTGAAACTGTCAAAGTAACTTCCACTTTAAAAAATAATAGAGAACTTGGAAACAGTACAAATGAAGGATGATGCTAGTTAAGAGCACTTAAGCAGAGGGATAAAGCTCAAAATTATATTACGTAACCTGAATAATATACAAGTGCAATGAAAGATAAATTCACCTGCGGGTTGTTCCTTAGAAAATCAAGGGATCCAACACCACCACCACCAGAAACGTTCTCCTATAAAGTTCCCAAGAGACAAAAGTGAAACATAAAAGAACAAAATAAACATGTTAAATACGAACCCTTAAGATGACAACAAAAACCTGAGGAAACAAATTTAATGGGGATGAATTTGGTGCCCCTGAAGCAGGCGCGGCAAGAGCAGCACCAGTCACATTAACAGAATCAACTGCTGGCTGGGCCAGTGGAACAGCAACTTCTGTGCTCTCCGGAATTCCCTGATAAATTAAAATTCAACAGGTGCCCAGTTTCTAAAGGTTTTCAAATCAGGGATCAAATATTATCTAATTTTATCTTACAAATTAGGTCATGAATTTTGTGTTTTAATCTAATTCTGGCGTATAAAATTATTTTGTGTATGTCGAACCCAAAGGCTCATACTAAGCTCCCAGTTGAGGTAAAAAATTGAAAATCAGGTCCCCAATAGGAAAACAAAAGTGACTGGGTCCTGATTTGAGGAGGTAAAATATTAAATGCAGCCTGTTGAGAAATCTTGGAAAATTAAGCCACAAGCTGGGAGGTTGGGACCATGAATAATATTCGGACCCTTAGCTGAAATTTTAACAAACACCAACATGTTTAAAAATATTCTAACACGAAAGACTATTCTTCTGATATTCATACCGAATACAGGTAGTCCACAGCTCGCTCTGGATTATTGTATGCAGCTCGAAGTGCACGAGTGACCATCTCTCTATCCCAACTGCCACCTCCCATCTCAATTAATTGTTGCACAGTTTGATCGAGACTATTGCCAGCGATTAAATTTGAAGCAGCTTGAGCATAAGGGTCCAAAGGGCTGCTGCAAACATATATCACACTAACTTGTAAATATTTTTGTTTCCTGCTTTAACTAACAAGTCACAAGTCACGAATTTTGCCCGAATATTCAGAAAAATAGGATCTTTAAACCAAAAATATATAACATACTTGCTTGAGGGAGCAACTGAAGCGGATCTGCTGCTATTTGGAATACTACAATAACAAATTAACATCTTTTAGTTTCATATGTCAGCATTAATAACAGAGGTATTGCAGTTCATCTAATATTATGGAAGTATAGCACTCACGGAGATGATGGTCGGGCTTCGGCTGCAGGAGTTGGATTACTCACAGGTGCTGCAGTTGCTGCTGCTGCAGTAGGTGCAGGCTGCTACGGACATTAGGAACGAGAAGGAAATAAAAGGAAGTAAAAAGTTAAAAAACAAAAAAGAAAAAGATACAAATGATAATGGCGAGAAGAGAAATGCATGGTGCATGTATGTGATACCTGAGAAGAAGTTGACCCACTTGAGCCCAAAGATTTAGTCTACAATCGATATATACACACAAAGGGTAAAAGATCACCAGAGATTCTTGGATCAACTATACGTACCAAAAATACAAAAAATGGAAAGCATATGTAACGAAAAGAAATAAAAATCAATTACTTCTACATGGCAGTAGTGTAGTAGCCAGATATAGATTGTAGCAGTACAGAAAGCATTTTTCTAAACGTTAGGGTGAGTGGAAAGGAGGGGATAATAAGAACTAAATAACAGTTACACTACAAAAAATGAATTACGAAAGGTACCAGAAAACAGGCTATGTCTAAGGATTACCTTGGTTAGCATGACAACCAGAAAACCATCTTCAGAGACCTTATTCTCAGCCAAGGTACTTTCATCTTTCAGTACTTTCCCATTATGAATTAACAATTGCTGACCACATGGGTAATTATCTTTTCCTTTTGCATCTTCAATGGTTTTCTTTATTGCCATAATCTAGTACAAATATCTCAATCAGTCAATAAACAAGTGAGACATACAGGTGTTAACAGCCACATACAACAAAACCATCTACAAGATTACACCACAGTATGAAAAAAAGGCACATCCTTGAGACACTGTTGTCGCAAGATATTTATTATCGGCGAATATTTTCAATATTACTCCATGTCAAAAAAATGATGATAAAGAAGGAATTAGCACAAATGAAAACCCCATCAAAATATGTCATGAAATTCGAAGAAAATAATTCATATCCAGCAAGGTATTGCCGAAGACAATGTTTTTCTTCTTAACAGTGAAAAAATCATTCTAAATTACTCTCCACAACTAACTTTCATGGGGTTGTAGTTTTCAATTCCAAGAATAAATTTCCCCCAGTCAAAGATATTAGCTTTCTTTGGCCGTCGATACAAGTATGAAAAAGGTAAACTTAACTTGCCTTCTGAATCACAAGTAAAAATCTACGAAGAGAGCTCATTATCATATAAGTATAGTTGCATCAGTCAAAGAGGATATCCTTTCTAAAAGAGTGTGCAATGTATACTGTGAAATGCAGCCAAAGCCATTTCCTGAACTACTGAAAATTGAACAACTTCAAGTGGTTTTCCATCACTAACCTACCACATTACCCATTTGGGAGTAAAACTATGTAAAGCTACAACCCACTAATCTGCTCCAAATACTTTCTAGAAAATGCATGCTTTAATTATATAAAATGGTAAGAGGAAATTGAAAAACAGAACAGAACATTGCTACAAAAAGCCACACAAATTAAGACCCATCGTTTAACAGAAACGATGGCACACACACACGCACGCACGCAACACCCACACGTATGTATATATGCAAGAAGGTAGAGAGAGAAAGAGAGAAGACCGTGTCATTTGGCTGAACGCTGATTTGGAAGTGGCTACCTTTGAGAGTTTTCACAGTGAGCTTCATTCCGGCGAATTTTTCTCCAATTCAAAGGCTTCGATTAGTAAAATATAAAATCGAAGGAGGAAAGAAGAATTGAAAACCCTAGAAGCACGCTGCAAGATACAGATCGGAGGGAGGAAACTGAAAAATTGCTGAAGTGTGAAGCAGTAAATCTTTGAATAAAGCATGCGGGGTCGTCGATTTCATCTTGCGTGACTATAATATAACTCAGACCCCTTAACTATGTGCTTATCTCAACTTTACCCCCTCAGTTTGCTAAATTGTATTTTGGTCCTAAAATAATCATAGTAACTATGTATTGTAAGGTTGCCCTTCAAATGAAAGTTGAAATCTTGAAACACATAGTATTATATTTTGTTTGAATTTTAAATTTTAATATAATGACACAAATTTAGTTTTAACTAAAATTTAAGGTTACTTATAAAGTTGATTTCAAAATAAAATCTTTATTATGAGAAAATATTGATAAATACTATTTTTTTTAAAGCATATAAAAATTAAATAACTAAAATGTAGAATTATTTCTAAAGTTTATTTTAAAAATAAATTTTTCAATATGATGAGGTATTGATGATTGTTTTTCTTTTTAAGCATATAAAAATTTAAATATAACTATGTACTCATTCAAAAATTTTTTAAGAAAATATGAAATCTCTGAAGATTCGAACCAAATCGAAAAATAAAAATCTCTAAACCGAATCGAACCATTCTAATTTTTGATACGGTTCCGGAGATTGAATTTTTGTTGAACTCTACCAACTCATATTTACCCCTAAATATACGTGGCGCTTTTTAGAGTTACGAGTCAGTGGGGTTTGAAGATTTTAATTTGAGCTGAGGGAGATTTTGACGATAGAAAAACCACGACGTTGTTTTATAAAGAAGTGTTTAAGAATATTTATATTTTTTTTCAATGAATTTGTTATGATTTTTACTATTGTTTATAATTTTTATTATTTTTTCATGTATCATATAGTTTTCCGTGCAAATGCACGGGACAAAAACTAGTGTGAGCTAATAACTCTTTAACCGTGGTTATATCATTATAATTAGACATACCAATTCAACCCAAATAAAACTTTATCCATGACAAGCAATTTGAACTTTTTTTCAAAGCACGGATACAGTTTCTCCACATACATTGCACCATTTATGTCAGCAAATTCGTTGCCAAAATTGGTAAAAGCTTCAACTTAAAAGTCTCACTATTACTTTAGTGAAATATCGTCACGGAAAAGGAAACAATAAAAAGAAAAAGGAGTCGTGCGAAAATACAATTGGGCGAAGATAATAGTTACACAATAGGTGGCGGTATTTATGCTGCATAAAAATTAAAAACTCTCCCTCCAATATTTCCGGCCATCCCTCTCCACCGCCCGCTCTCTCTCTCTCTCTCTCACGCGCGCGCGGGAGAACACTGAACAAACCCTTCATCATCATCATCATTATCATCATAATCTTTTTTTTTTTTTAATTTCTAACAGGCATACATCTACATACACAATCCCTGTATCTATATTTGACTGCCTCGATTTCAGGTAGCTTCCATTACTATTCTCACGTTTTTCAAATTTTCCTTTTTTCTTTTTCCTCGGGTAAATCAGTTGGTGGCGTTGTTATCATATCGTTTAACCTGTAATGGACGCAAGCTGGTTCCTCGTGACCACCTTTTTCCGCCTTTATTGATTGACGCTATCGACCTCCACATGCAGCCAACAGAATCGAATTCATAAATTGATCCTCTTCATCGTCACCATCATCTGCTTTCGTCCTTTTTTTTATCCGGTTTTATTGTAATTTGGATCTGCGACGTCGGAGCTGCGACCGCGTGTTTCCCGGCGTTGATTAGCCGCCCCGGAGTATAATGCCCTGTGTGTGTTGGAGATTTGCGTGCGTATTGGGAGTGAATTGAGGTTTCGAGGGAAAAATGGAGGAGAGGAAGAAGTACCCGATTGGGGTTGAGTTTTATACTCTGTATGAGGAGGTCGGGACGGGAGTCAGCGCGGCTGTTCACCGCGCCCTCTGCAACCCGCTCGATGAGGTCGTCGCCATTAAAATTCTCGACTTTGAGCGCAATAACAGCGATCTGGTAAACTTCTCCCTGCTTAAGTACTAACGAATATGTACATGCATGTGGGGGATTTTGTGGAATTTTTTCCCTATTTCCGGGAGGAAGTGTCGTGTCATTTGATTTTGTGATTTTTGGATTTCTGAAGAATGTTGGAATATGGGTGGACTTATTGATTTATCATGTAGTTTTTCGGAACTCTTTCTCTCAGCCGGCATTGTCAAGCTTACTGTTTATAATGATGCTTAGGTTTCGATATGATCTGAACAGAAGATAGGTTAGTTAAACTAGTGATTCAGTTAGTGGCAAGTTCTGGTTCTAGCTTCTAAAGCTGGTTTTGGTTTTTCCTTTTAGAATTGTTATTGGAAATAGATAACTGAACTGTACATCACATATCATCGTTTATTTGTATGTAAATCCGTTGAAGAAGTGATTGCCGAAGTTAATATCCTTGGAAACTATCTCCATTTGTAACTTTTCAGGTGGCATCCATCTTACCCGAGTCCTGCAGTTCTGCAATATTGTTTCACTGATGTTTTATAGAAAAGAAATTGCAGAAGTTAATAAATCTAAGAAAAATATTTAAGTTTGCTTTTGTGTATAGCATCCATCTTTTTAATGTCCTGCGTTTCTTGTGTCATTGATATGATTTATATTCTAATTAATCTTTTATCTGGAGTCTTATCACTAGTTTATCTGTAACTGCATAGATCCAGATTTACAACCTAGTAACTGTGAGTGGGTGTATAGGGAAATATTGTATGCTTTTTCTCTGTCAAGATTATATTTTGTCTGATTCTGAAATTCATATATCCTTGTAAATGAGAGACTGATTTAGCTGTTGAATTTTGCACCCAGAATAACATTTCACGGGAAGCACAGACAATGGTCCTTGTTGACCATCCTAATGTTCTTAAGTCACACTGCTCCTTCGTTAATGATCACAATCTTTGGGTTGTGATGCCTTACATGGCTGGAGGTTCTTGTCTTCACATTTTGAAGGCTGCACACCCAGATGGTTTCGAGGAGGTTGTCATTGCTACAATTTTGCGGGACGTGTTGAAGGGCTTGGATTACCTTCACCAACATGGACATATTCATCGTGATGTAAAAGTGAGTAAATGGTCTCTAAGTGCCTCTGTCATGTTCGATAATTCTTAATCAATATTCTTGTCAGTCATACATGCTTCTGGAGTGAAGAAATCTGCAACCATGTATTCTCTTTAAGATAATTGAAAAATGTATTCATCATCCAGCCTCTTTTCTTATTTATTTATGTTTTTTTTTATAGTTGACATTGTTCCCTTTTCTAGTTTCTTAAATCAAATAGTATGTAAACATGAATAGCATATTAGAGTTCTCCATACTTTGTTAATTTGCAGAGCCTAGTGATAAATTCCAAACGAGCATATCTAACACTTATAACACGTTTCCATTCTTTTGCATTAAAATGGAGCGCAGAATAGTATTATACATATTCCTTTGTGTGTGTGGTTGCTTTTATGCATCATCTTAATCTTGAATATTCCGTTGTTTGGTTACATTCAGGCTGGTAATGTTCTGATTGATTCCCGTGGTGGAATCAAACTGGGAGATTTTGGTGTTTCCGCCTACTTGTTTGATGCAGGTGACCGGCAGCGCATGAGGAATACATTTGTGGGCACCCCCTGCTGGTATGGTTGCATTCTTGACCTACTTTCTGCATTTGTTTAATTTTCCACCAACTATTGAGTTCAAAATCAGTCCTATTAATGCAAGGTTTGTTAGAGAAACGTAAATATATGAAGATAAATAAACAAATTGCATATATACGTGAGTGCTAATCTCAATTTTCAAAAACTCTGATGCTTGAATGGTCCTAACAGATGCTGGCTCTAGTAACTAAATCATAAGGTGGGCCTATAACAAGGGTTGTTTCTGTTTTATAGGATGGCACCTGAGGTCATGGAGCAAGTGAATGGTTATGATTTCAAGTATGTTTCATCTGTTCCAGATTCTTTTCTTACTACCTACGATTTTTGGATCATTTTTCTGAACCAGCTGTTTGATATTTTTGTAGAGCTGATATATGGTCTTTTGGCATAACTGCTCTGGAACTTGCACATGGCCATGCTCCTTTCTCGAAGTATCCTCCGATGAAGGTTTTTACAGATAACAATGATCTGTCTTTTTTTCCCCATAATGAGGAAGCTCTTGTAGTTATGATTTTTCGAGCTTATTGGCTCTGCATTATACTTCTTTAGGTATTGCTTATGACATTGCAAAATGCGCCACCTGGTCTTGATTATGAGAGGGACAAAAAATTCTCAAAGGTATCTTCGCTCAAACAAGTACTGACATAACAAAATTGTTTGGTTGAGATACTGATATTGTCATATTTGGCATCTTTAGTCCTTTAAGCAGATGATTGCTAGCTGTTTGGTGAAGGATCCTTCAAAAAGGCCAACTGCAAAAAAATTGTTGAAGCATTCCTTTTTCAAGCAAGCTAGATCAAACGATTATATTGCTAGAACTCTCCTGGAAGGGCTGCCAGCTCTTGGTGACCGTCTTCAAGCATTGAAGGTTTTGCTCTTTCCTGTCTATATGGCTGAATTAATACAAGCTGAAGTATTCTCTCTGTAATGGTTTCTTGTCTAATGAAATGTTATGGATTGAATTTAGAGAAAGGAGGAGGACATGCTTGCACAAAAGAAAATGCCAGATGGGGAGAAAGAGGAGATATCCCAGGTTTGGTTTCCTATCCGAAAAAGCATTCTGATACTTATTGTGCTCAAGTGAAAACCTATTAAGCTGTACCGTTTTTGTTAAACTGATTTCCGAATTATATACAAATTTGAACAATAATATTTACCTGTCATCCTATCTTTTTTGTCTTAATTTATGTACTGAACTGATCCAGTGGACACTGAAGCCTTATATTAGCCATTTTAGCAAACATGTCGAAATTGATATAAAAACGTGATATATTCAGTGTACAAGACATCAGATATTTTGTTAGATGTTCTTCACGAACATTGTATTTGTTTACACGTAGAAACAATTTTAACTCTGTTTTTGCAAGGAAAATAATTTTCATGTGAGCAATGTCCTTTTATCTTAGTTTTTGTTGCTGTTTGATTGAAACTGAAACCTCTTAGGACTGTAGAAAATATTTAGGTCGGTTATCAAAATATGTGCAATAAATTTTATGATGTTTATAGAAATTTCTGATTCATGAACCTGAAACCCGCAACATAGTTAGTTGGATGATGTCAGCAAAGGAAACTTCCAATTACCTGAAGTTTTTGACATCCATGCCTGCCTCACTTCTTCAGACATATTTCATGGTTGTCTCCTGATTTTCCAAACTCTAGTTCTCTTATTTCCACCATCACTTATTAAATAACACTCACACGTCAGTGGTAGGTCAGATCCTTTTAGATTACTGTCCATTCACTATTTCAGATTTTGTTTCGTAGAAATTATTTCTAAACTCTGACCTTAAAATCTGTAGTTGTAAGTTCTCCAGAAGTCTCAATTTTTAAAGATCTCGTAGCCGCTATCAAGCATGAAATTGTAATGATGCTTTTACGTATTTTATTACAACTTACAAGTGGAGAAAGATGTGGGTGATTAAATTTGAAAAACTTGCAGAATTGAGCAATGGTTGTATGAATCTAGGACCTTGAAGTGTAGTTAAATGGTGCACTACTGTAATTTCTTTTAATCAACTACTTAGTTCTTGAGATTGCAAGAGATAACTCCCCACTAATATGAAAATTACTTAAGAGTTCTTTGTACTTTCTTTTTTTTTTGTCAGAATGAATATAAACGTGGGATCAGTGGGTGGAATTTCAACCTCGATGATATGAAGGCTCAAGCTTCATTGGTACTATATTCTTTTCAACTATTGGTTTGATTGATTTACTTGCAGAAAAAGATTGTTATGGGTGACTGTGAGGAACATCATGCATAGAACTCTTGTTATCAGATCCAGGATGATGATGTTACTTTGGAAAAAGACGAAGATATGCAAAACAAACTACAGTATCAGTCATCTTTATCCAAAAGCTTTAAAGTACTTCAACACCAATTGTCCTTTGCAAGTCAGTGTTCTGATGCAGCAGATTCTGTAAGTCAATACTGATCTTCTTGTAGAAGGAAGATATGTTTCTTTCTCTTTGTTTAACATCTCTGTTGTTCGCAGGATGATAACACACCCGCTTCTGTCTCGTCAATGGACTCCCCGAGTAACTTGTACGGCATCACAATTTGACCACCCTTTTACATATACTTACTGCTTAATCATTTCTGTGCTGCCCGTATGCTAGCTTTTTCACGGCCTTATGCATACTACTTTTACTTGAGTATAGTTAATTTTTTTTTAATTTACATTTATTGCTGTATTTGTGTTTATAACATGCATAGTGCAGCATTTACATTTCTCTGAGTTACAACTCACATTGGTTAAACATTTACACTTATTCTTCTGAGCTTCTCCATAGTTTCTTCTCACTGAGCCTTTTTCTTATATTAAACCTATATTCACAAGTGAATCCTTATTAAACATTTTGTTTTTTTTTTCTCCCCTTAGAGCTAAAATTGAAAAGTCTGAAGATGGTGCGAGTGTCGTGACAACATTGGAGCAGCCAACAACAAACATGCCTCTTAGTTCTGAGAATCATACAGACAATAACCTAGTAGAAAAGGTTGAAGTGGAGGCAAACAAAAGATTAATAGACGGAGCCCCCACTAACTCTGGGTATGATGTTCTATCTTGACTACGGCACTTATTGCTCTATGTACTGAGTTCCTTTCTTTCTATGTTATCTGTGTATAGGTTGTATTTTATACTGAATTTCTGTGGTTTCTTTATGGACTACTGTTCAAATTCACCTCTTTCTTTTAAATTGCGAAATGCGAGGTAATATGAGGCATCCAAAGGGAACAACAGAGAAGTATGGCATTCCAAAGTTTATGATTAAGGGCATAAATAAAAAGGCCCAGTTAATGAAAATCACCCCCATGATTGTATACGATTCAGGAGATGCTCATTTAACTTCTTAAATTCTGATTTCCTCAAAGATGTTTGTCTTGGTTTCATAAATTGCATGTGACAGAACTTGTCAGCATAAGAAAAGCAATATCAGCTAGAAAAGGACAAAGGTTCAGTACTGTGCCTATATGGTATTATGCGATGACATCTATGTTCTGAATTTGTTTAAAAACAACATAATTATAGGCATTATTTTATTATATTACAGAATATTTTTATGCTTTTCTTAATTGAGGTAAACAAGTAAAACTAAATTGTCTAGTTTTTTTGTTACTGTTCTTTTTCTCTGCAAATTTAACCATAAATTTTCATATAAGAGAAGCTTCATTATTTAGTAAGTATAAAATAATTGTTTATTTTAGTTCATATATTGTTTCACACTTATATTGTTTATCATGTTTCTAATTTCTTTTTATTTTTTTTTGTTTTGAAAAATTTCCAGCCCTTATATTTTTCTACCAATTTGTGGCAAGGTTAAAATGGATTTTGCAATTTTTCATTTCTTTTTGTTGTGTTCCTTGATGTAAGTATATATGGTTTTAACTCCTCCGTTAAAGTTTTTTTTTTGGGGTCTTTTCATTATTAGGTGAGTTTCTAGGATAAACCCAGTTTGATTGTTTCTAAGCAAGTTCAATAAAAATATCTTCCATACTAAGAAAACGGAAATTCAACAGGGTACTGTTTGAGCTTCTGGAATGAGATGGCTTGAACATAATAAGATCATGTTTCTTCTCTCATTACTACTATGAACTGATTGACATATTCTAAAACTATGCTCCATTAGGAAGAAAACGAAATTATCCGCAGATGAAGATAATCATAGAGGTTCATTTAATTTTGCTGGACGAGATGGTAAAAACACTTATTTTTCCTGACAAGTTTAGATACTCTGTAAAATTATTTGTTCCCGTTAGGCAGTTTTAGTCCTTTTAGTAGTTACTCGTAATAATTTTAGTGTTACAGAAGATTGAGAGTATAGCCAAGGAAGATGCATCCACTCCCAGCTTTGCGTTTCCACCATACAGAATAATCCTGTGGCCACTATAATTTCCTATCTAACCAAAGAGCTGTGCACACTTTCCCCTTTTCATTTTTGCCCCTCCTTATATAAAGTTCTTGTTTTCTCCTTTTAGGTGCAACTTGAAGTGAGAATATAAGTACTTTGTTTGGTTATATATTTTCTATTTTTTTTTTACTTTTCAAGTTGTTGGCTTACATAACATTGGGTAAACTTTCTCTTGGCTTCTTTGACGAGTTTATTTTTCTTTGTAACAACTAGTGATAAAGTCCAAAATCAGTCACAGATATTATCCCGCGCTGGGCCAACCAATCAGCAACCTTCAGAGTCTGTACATGGAGAAATAATATCCAAAGGCTCAAAAACATCAGGCAAGTCAACACTTGTAAACTTCTGTGTGCTTGCCTTTGTTGTGAACTTCAATGAATAAACTTTTGTTGCTTAATATACTGTTTCTTTGTGTTTTCTTTTTTCCCGGTTATCCAGTTAATGGTGATGAAGCCGATGAGAAGGCCAAGAATCAAGTTGTTCAGCAAAAAGGAAGATTTAAGGTCACATCAGAGAATGTTGAGGTGATAAATGTCAATATTCAGGTTTTACTTTGAATGGCCCATTTTGCGTTTATTAAATATTTATTTTTTCCTGTAGGCCGTTCCAGCTCCTATACTACAGAAAAGCCACAGCATGCAGGTTGGTCTTAAAATTTACTTTATAATGTAAATATTGCACGTACAACTTTTATTGAAATTGACCAGAACACTAGGTTCGTATGTTCTCATTTTTGTATATACCCAAGCGATAACTAAGTTTTATATTGGTCATTCTATCATCATTATATTCTGATTTGCTGCCTTCTCTTATGTTACAGTATGGACATGAATTTATCATTCAACTGCAACATATACGAGTCAATAACATTATAATTGTTATCTGAAAAAGCCTCTCATATTCAAAATCAAATGCATTTGTGTAAGAGATGAAGTGGTATGAGTAAATAATAGAACCCTAAACTATAGAATCTTATGTTGGGTATGGATCTCTATGTTTCCTGAAACAAACATATGTAAACCGGTATTAAATGTTATTTAAAAGGCTTTTGTTTTTGGATATTTAGGTGATGGGTCCACTTTCTTCCATATCGTCACCTCCATTATCTTCCATATCAACTCCATCACTCTCTGATGCTACTTCAAGTTTTGGTCATGCCATTTTTCCCAGTTTACAGTCTGTTCTGCAGACAAATATTGTTCAAAGGGTAATAGTTCTTATGACATATCATGCACACTGACCTTTTCTCCTTTCTTTTTAAGTATCTGATTTTGTCTTCTACCTAATCACATTGACAGGATAGCATCCTTCATTTAATGAAGCAAATAGCAGTTGGTGATCCTTTGGGTATGAACAACTAATCATAGTGTAATGTATGCACACACACATACATATAGGGAGCGGTTACATTCTTAAAATGAGAAAGTAGGGATTAATCACAACCATCCATATATTTTAGATCTTATGGATGTACTTGGTTACAGAAGTGAATGTCTTCATCCCTCTAACTATGCATCACTGAATTTGTAAATTGCATCAATCAACACGAGTAGTAAATAATTGTTAATGCATGTTTAGAAGTATATTAGTGCTTAGTTAGAAGGGCTATAATGCAAATTCAATTTTTTTTTTTATCTATTTAAAATATTTTTATTGATCAATTAATCGCCAACAATTTTTAATGCATATTTAAAAATGTATGAACGCATAGTTATATGTCTGTCTTTTGAATGGCTAGAATTTGGCCTGGTCTTCCTATTTTAAGAAGCGGTTTATATGTAACTCTGAGTGTGCGCGTGTTTCTTGTTTGACTTGATTATTTGTATTTGCAGATGTGGAGTGCCCACAGATTAACATGGCATACGCTGATAAATCTTTGGTATGCAAAAAATTTAGGTTTTGGTTGATACACTTTTGCATTTTACTTAATCATAACCGAAGATGCAAAAACTTCTGGGGGCTTCAGTCCAATTTATTCCTTTCAAAATGTTTTCTCTCAGCTGTTGCCTGTTGGATTACTATTCTGAAGTATGTATAATTCTGATATTTATTTATTAAAATTTCGTTTTGGTAGTTAGATGCTTCTCATGATAGAGAACGGGAGTTGCTTCGAGAAATCAATGATCTCCAATTAAGGTATGATTCCCTATCTATAATGCATACAAGAGCAGTACTAGGCTCCATTTGGAGAGGAATTGAAGGAAAAAATTTCAAATTCATATGATGGCAAATCTATTGAGTTATTGCATTTGTGTGGACTTGAAAACATCATCTTAAAATTCAATCCTTTCATCCAAATGAAACCTCATTGAACTTAGTTAAGTGTAAAGTAACTCATCCTCTTGCGTAGGCTTGCACGTGCCCAGGAGGAGCTCCAAAAATATAAAGCAGAGAATTCGCGGTGACGGTGAGCTCATGAGCGCACATTTTACGCAGAATTTTTATGTCAGTATCCTAACCTGCGGAAAAAATACTAACCAGTGTAATATATTCATTTGATTATGTTAAAGTCTCTCAAAGTTTGTATGATTTAATTGAATCAGTACCTTGCTTATTCAAGTATGAGGCAATGGGTATTGATTAATTGTAGCTTATTTATTTAATTTTTGATCCTTGGAGCCTCCATAAAATTGAAGTTCTATCTCAGATATTGCATTGCAATTTCTTTGACTTTTGTTAACTTGATCTTTTGCTAGCAATTTTAACTAGTGTTCTAAAAATCGGGTTAGGTGTACGTCTAGTTAGCACCTAGGCCTTAGGTGGCACCCAGTCGTCTTAATTTTTATCTAGGCGCTCGGACAATTATACATCGTTTACAGCATGGCCCTAGGCGACTGCATATTTTGTCACGTCTAGATTGGTTAGGCGGTTTAGACAGTTACCTAGGCACACAGGTGATGGTTAGGCGGTTTATTTTTATGTATACAAAAATATGTTTTGATTTTTATTCATGTAATATTCAATAATTAGAATTAAAAACTAATCATGATAGCGTATAATAATTATAAATATTTAAAAAAAATTGTATTTAGCAACATTAATTAATAAGTTTTACATAATGTGTATTTTGTGAGTTATATATGGTGATAAATATAAATAAATTCAAATTGTTTGTGGCGCCTAACCATTGTGTAATCCCCACCTAACCACCCTAGGAACTAGGTCTTAGTCCGCCCCTTAAATGTAAGGGGATGATTGGAAGTGGATTATTTTAGTTTTGCTTTGATTTATTGGATAAAGTCACTTAATTTTGAATACAGTTGATTGAGTGAGATTTTGAGTTTATATTTAAAATATATTTAAAATGTAATGTTTAAAGTTGATGTGATGTAACGTATGAGGGAGGTGATTTGATAATTAATTAAAATTATGTGAGTGGATGATAGTGACTTAAAGTTGATGTCATGTGTGATGTCGATTGTTGATATTATTTAGTTATATTGATAATATTGAGGAAAGTTATGTTGAATTAGGTTTGAGTTAGATTTTGAAATAAAAAAGTGTAAATGATTGATTGAGTATGGATATTAGAAAAAAAAAAATAAAAATCCACTTCTAAAGTTCTAATCACCCCCTAAGTGAAGAAATTGCTCTCTTTCTCTGCGCCTCCGTGCTGCTACAGCTGTCGGTCCGTACTCCCGGTCTCTTGTCGATTAGTGGGCCTCTCGATTGAAGGGTGTTTTGCCATGTCGCGCTACTCGTGGTTGGCCTCTCGCCTCAAGGTGGCTCCAACAATTAGATGGTATGGTTGGGCGACTTTGCTCTGATTGCCACCTGGCGGTGGTCGCAGCCGAGGTTAGCCATTCCTTCCCTTTGTTCTTTTGTTCCCCTGGTGTCAGTGCGAATGCACAGCCCGCGCGTCTGCGGGCAGTCTGTGCGCCCTTCTGCAGCCAACGGCTGCGAGCGCGCCTTGCTGCCTGCGACCAGCAGCTTGTCTGCCATGGCCGTCGGTGCTTTCATGCGGCGCGTCGTTGCCGATCGGGACTGAACGTGCGCGACAACTTGTGGTACGTCTCCGATAGTCGGGGCTAATCGCCGGCATCCATGATTTATCGTGCGCTTGAAGATTTTCCATGGATTCTCAATCTCTCACAAAATACACAAATCGTGCAAATAAATACTTTTATCTCAAGAAAAACGCTTGGGCATGTGAGATCTTATGAAAATGGCGACTAAAGCATCCAAGAGAATTGATATATTTATAGGCTACAACAAGAACCTAAGGAGGTGCTAAATATGTGTTCTCCAAGTGTGGACCCAACTATGGGCCTGACTCACTCCATTCACGAGTGAATAATATTTCAGTCCATTAAATAAATATTATTAAACTCCTCATTTAGCTCCAGAATTATATTTGAGGCTCCAATTTAATTACTTGATTTATCTCTCGATGTTTAAAATATAATTTTCACTAATTAATTTAATTAGTGACAATATAATTAATTAACTTCTTGATTCGAATCTAGTACAAATAAATTCTTTATTAGTATGCCTGAATTAAATTCGACAATCAGGCTTCGCATAATAATCCTTTTTGAGTTTATTTTGGGGATATCATCAAACTATACATACCGTGAGTGTAAATAATCGAAAACACGTCGCACATACAACATCACTACCCAATTCAGTTAGACTATTAACCTAGCAAAATGGATATCACTTTTTAGTGAATCAAAGTAGCAGATACTGAGTGCACGTACCCATTATTATCTTCTGGGTTAAGAGTACGCACTAATTAACTGAGGTCTAATTTATTTTCTTGGTCAATATAAAATAAACTTTCCCTCATGGGATCCGTTAAATACACTCACTGCGTACTAGTGCAATTCATTAATCAAGACCAACCGATCCAAATTATACTACAACAGTTCGCGATGTGTTGTTCATTTCCATCTAGGTTGTCAACCAATACTTTATGTTTTACAAATAACTGATAGAATAATCTTCTATTTTTCTGTGATGAACCATATCTATCTAAATGTAAAACATCAGAATGTAGAACTGTTTAATAAACATGATTCTCATTCAAATGGGAATAGTGTAAACAAAAAGTCAAGCTTTTAATATACACACCACCATGTGTGATGTGCCTGAAATATCGGTTCACAAAGATTGTTGGTCGAACGGCCTAGTCTCGAACGTACCACTAACCGAATCACTTACCAAAGCGTCGGGGACGGGGCCCCAGCGTAAACACTCTGACGTTCAAGTTAGAAAACTTATGTCTCAAATGTATTGTAATTGAGAGGACTATGTAGAGTTTAGGTTAGAATTTGAACCTGAATCTCTTATTTATAAAACGTTTAGTGACTTACTTTCTAAGACAAGGGGTATCTTTAATAACCAAGGAGTCTGATCCTCCAGAATTATTGTGTAGATATACATAAACATAATTGATATCTTTTAGGAATATTTCTTAAATCTTCATAAGTATTTAATTAATGTCATATATATTTAAATTGTAGTAATCAAGCTAAAGCTCCTTTGGACCAGTCGTACCCGAGTTAACTGCTCAGACCAGTTCACCGAACTATTTTGATTGCTACATCAAGGTGCACACAAACAACAAGTAAGTTCAAAGTATCGTGCTACTAACCAACTAGTGTATCTGATAGTATTTTGACTAATGAATATGCAGAGCCATGTATTGCTCATGACAGGGGCGCAGCCAGAAATTTTTTTGACCCGGGGCTGCATATTATTGTAGCTATTATTGGAGCCGAGTAGACATGGTCATGGGTCGACCCAGCCTGTCGGTTTGGACCAAACCGACACAAACTGACCCGTTGATCATGGGTCTTGAACCGGCCCGTGGTTTGACCAGTTCAATTCATGTACAATACTTTATAGTTTATATATTTTAAACCGGCAGTTTCGGTTCCGAACTGGAACCGAAACCCGAGGTTCAGCTTTTTTAAAATAAAATATATATTATTTTTTAATTATTTTAATGAACCGGACGACCAAGAACCGACAGTCCGTGCATATGTTCGCGCCAGTTCAAGGTCCTCCAACTCTCGGCCCGAAATCGGCGATTTCGACCCGTAACTGATTTTGGTGATCATGACTAGAACTAAATTATTTGATAACATATGTCGGTTTGAATTGGTTAAACTCAATCTCGAATCGCTTATATATTTAAACAAGTCAAACCCAAATAGCTAATCGAACTTGTCGATTAAACAAATAGAGTCGAGCATGTTTGCACTCAACTCTGTAGAAGTGGAAATGAGGCCGAATTAATTATTGAAGGCAAAATCAACAAAAAAAATAAATAAAATGAAAACGGATAATGGACTGTGCAATGAGACGAACCCAATTAAATAGCCCGCATGAGAAGTGTGTGTCAAGCTTAATTATCCAGCTCATTTGGTACTTGTCAAGTCAACCCATTAAAAAATTAAAAGACAAGAGTGTATTGTGCTACATTATAAACTCAATTGATAAAAATCTAATAAGGACACAATTGTCATTTGACAATAAAGGATTATCTTTTTTCCTCTCACTACGATTATCACTTTTCCTCCATTGTTGTCATATAAAAAATTTCGAACTGAATCTTGAGACATCCAGCCCGAAATTAAATGGGGCTACATAAAAAATTACATGGAGCTAATGAGGCTTATGTATAAATTTTTTAAAATATAAGATTAACAATTTTTTTTTTGGACATGGGGCTGGAGCCCACCAGGGTAGGGTGGCTCCGCCCCTGGGCTCATGAAATAATATCGACGAGATCAATGTTGCATGCACAAGAGAATAAAAAATTATGACACCCATGCATGATTTATTACCAAATATATTTCACACGTCTAATACAGTTTATGGAGAAAATGCGCACATAAATGCATCTGTAATGCTTTTTTCATTGCTCAATTTTGTTGCTACATAGTACAAATTATCCTATGTGGCATGAAAATGTCTAGAAGTCTTTCTAGATATAAAAGTCAATCTAAATAATTTCTATTATATATTATATTATTTATTCAATTTATCCTTCTTTTCCAACCAATTTACAATTCTACCCATCACAAATGATATCACAATGGAAACACAATGTTTTAGTTTCTTTTCTTCATACCATACAGAACAAAATGAACAATGTTCCATTGGAGATACTCTTAGTATACACAAATTATATTTTAATACAGTCTACCAATTATGCGGGGCAATCCCAATCTAATGGTTAAACGGGTGGGTGTAACAACTAACAACAACTCTTAGTACAAAGTAGAGAGATCAATGAACTAAATAGTGAAGGCCGAAAGAGTTTCCCCAACTTTGTAGGGGCAGTTGGGTTTAGTTAAGGAATTCAGTTGCAAAAATGCCTATGGTGCTTGGCCCGCCAACCCTAGAATACTTGATGTTACTACACATTAAATCAATGACCACTTTTTCTTGAGCTGTAAACCTTTTAGCAGTTCCAATCAATAAATGGTGTTAGTACTAAGTTGGTTTCTTAGGTGTGTTGTCGTTTTTGATGTAGCATTTGTTGTCCCGTCCATATATGGGATTTGTATCCACATTCAAAAGCAGTGATCTTTGATCGAGCAGTAATTTTTGTTGTAACATTAATCAATAGATAAACTACACAATATCTTTTTTTCTCGACTTATAATTTTCAAAATCTCAAGTTGTGGTATTTCTTGATCTCTGTTGTCTTAAGTCGTGTTTAGCAGCGGCTTAAGC